TTATATGGGGTAACAGAATAAATGCAAGCCTAATACTGGGCCAGTTTACAAAACTTTAGTTCAATCATTTATGGAAATTTATGAAAATCTTAAATTTATTTTTGTCATTGAATTTTCAATAAATAAAAAAAAAATCATTTATTTCGGACATCTAAGAGATCCATAAAATTAATTAATCAATAGTCCTAATTTATTTTTTATGAATTGTCTTGAACCGGCAGCTCTAACAATGAACTATTATTGTAATAAACATATCTTTGTTTTATTGTACTTGGTCGAAATAAAACTAGTACACGTATATTTGCAGGCTTTGTAAATGACCCGCATATCTCCCATTATTTGATTTGACTGTGGTCTGTTCATGACAATGACAACTGCATACACCGTGACGGGTAAATAAATACCAAAAACTACCTTATACATATATATATATATATCATGGAAGCGACAGCTATTATTGACATAGCAATAAATTAAACGATGAATCATTACTTCCATAAATATGGATGGTAATGTTCGTTATATTAGTGTTTGTTTGTTGTGTAATAATACGAAATGAACCACAGACCACCATCAACAAGATAATACAAAATACGTAAAGATACATTACAAATATGGACATAATAGCAGCTGCTATGTCTCCCTGCCTGCAGTTATACTAATAAGAAACTCAAACAGCATTGCATGAAGGAAAATTATAGTGTTTATTTTAAAGCTCGACTGTGATAACTTTTTAATTTATATTTCATTGTGAACGTCGTAATGCAAACAGTAACACCTTAGTCCACAGAACGCAAGTACGTGAAGTCATATGTAGCATGGTGAGGTATACAAGAGGAATAATTTGATAACAGATAAAATCTTTCGGGACTGTGGCGTGTTTGCGAAAGACCTATTGCTTACTTACAGGTGATCGAAAAGTATATACACCGTGATATTTTAATGGTTGTTTTCCCACAGTAAAATGATTCTATTTTAGTAGTACAATAGATTGAGAAAGTTGTTTTTAATTTAAATAAAAAAATAGCAGTTTTACGATAGTGATACACGAAACTTAAAAGAAACCGCGAACCAATAGTACCGCCGCGACCGGCCACCGGCCGCTGTCATTGTCGCTCGCGCTTATCAAAAGGCTGATAACTCAGTATTTACTAACAAGTGATTTCCATTTTCCCTTCATACTTTAACGAGCTTAGGACCGACGTAAATACTTTTTAACTACACTTACTAAACACAAACATAAAACAAAATTTAATCAAGAGATATTATCTTGTTTATTACTGAATTTGGGAAAGTATTTATGGCGTATTTAAAAAATGGGAATCAACGATTTACAATTATTTTAATCACCTATCTTATTGTTTTATTTACAAATGTACAAGTACTTACACTTCCCGGTAACGGAGCAATTGTTCAAAGTGTAAGCCACCGCGTTCCACACACAATCGTGCACGTTTTAACTGATTGGCTTTCAATTTTATTAATGTGTCTCTGTCACGTCTAATCACATCAAAAGCGTCCACTATCGCACTTTTTAACGCGTCGCGAGTTTCGTACTCTTGCCGATACACAAGGCGTTTGAGATTAGACCACAAATAAAATTCTAGTGGAGTAAGATCCGGGCTTCGTGGTGGCCATGGCACTGGCCCGCCACGACCGATCCAACGCTGGGGAAACACCGAGTCGAGGTGCTCTCGCACGGCGCGCTGATAATGCGCAGGGCAACCATCGTGCTGGTAATACAGGCCATCCATAGGCACTGCTAACGGAATGTCATCTAGTAAGTCCGGGATAACACTACGTAGCATTTGTAGGTACGTTTCACCGGTTAAGTGTCCTGTCACAAAATGCGGACCAATTAAGCAGCCGTTTATTATACCGGCCCACGTAGGTACTCCACATTAGAAAAAACGTAATGGCGATCCATTTTGGCGGCAATAATATTGTACTGCGCTTGCGTGATTGCGCGGACGGCGTTCGCGGTGCGACTGGTGTGAATGAAAGCGATGCCAGGCGATGCGGGCCGATGCGAGTGACAGAGAGCGCGGTGGTTACCTTTGTTGTTTGTCGTGAGGCGATACGCTCGCGCGCGCGTGCATTGCAGTTTATGCTGTATTAGTTAGTCCGAGAGATTATTTTACTATGAACATTGATTTGACGTCACATTTTAGAAGAGAAACTATCGTTTCTCATGCTTTCGAGTTGATGATTATTTTTTTGAGTATATGAGGAGAAAAAAAATTATTTTTTCAAAAAGTAACTTGCATTATTCGATGGTACTACTAAAGGGAAATCGTTCTGCTGCGGGAAAACAACCATCAATATGTCAGCGTGTATATAACGTACAATAAACTTATGTTCAGTAAAAGTGAAACCAGTAGATAACAAACACGGGTCTAAATTAAAAAAGAAAATCTAATAAGTATTGTACATTTTAAATGGAGTTCGTAGTTGCTACGGCAGCGTAGCAACCGTAGCAATGACGTTGGCTACGGCGCGGCGTAGCAAGAATACCACGTCTCTACAAGAAAAATTACGTATAATATATGAGCATTACTTTAGCTAATTTAAATTCATCTTATATCTAAGCTTTCAATAATAAAGTGGTCGATCATAATTTTACAAAAAGACAACTTATCATAATTAGATCAATTTTATTCGTAGTCACGTAGAACAAAAGTGAATACTCAGTTTCTCGCAAGACCGGGCGCGCGCCTGTCCGCCCCATTGGCGACCAATCCTGCGCGATAATACAAGGGAATGCTGAGCTGTGCCTAGCGCGGGATGTGCTGACGAGACGGCGGGAACTAGATGACGAGGCGGGAGTCACTCATTACTGGCAGCCGAGCGGTGCTTGTGTAGTCAACATTACGTTGATCATTACACGCCATTACCTATACTACTACAATAGTTAATTGATTAATTGCTATCTGACGAATTTAACACATATTTAATTTTTATTAGGTAACGAATTATTAGGTAACGAATTGGCACACAATATTAGGCTAAACTAATACAAAGAGGTTTGTACTGTGCTGGAAGGCAGAACGCACAGTTGTAGATGTAGTTACGAATTCTTTTAACCATCGACATTTGTTTACTGACAATAATGATAATAATTAGACGTTTAATATATTGTATTATTATAGTGACGGGCTAGTATATAGCTAAAATCAGTGTCGCGACACGAGTTATCGCTCTTGGGTCGCGGCATTTTAGCTGAGTACTTGGCCTTTTTGCGCCGCGCACAGATTTACCATTTATTGTTGTAAGTATTCTTCTTGTTTTAATTTGTTACGGTGCGAATAAACAATTTCCCCTTCTTTCTTTCTAAGTATATCGAAAATTTTCTTCGGATCGATCAGACTTCTTATAACATAACAGTGTAGTGCTCGAGCCTGCAAACACATTGTCATTACGCACTCGTTTTGGTATTATTTGCAAGTGATGCTAAGTGCACACCGCTGTACAGAGTGCCGTGTTACTTAGCAAGGTGGTGATCATTGGTAATAACTTCATTTCATCTGAATAGTGTTTATGTAGTAGTCGTAGAATTTAGCAAGCAACAGCTTCCTCCTAGTGTTTGGTACACACTTACCGCAGCACTCGGATTCATTTAATGGTTATTTAACTCAGTATTTTTTACCAATTGCTCCCGGAACAAAATCGTTACATAGGAATAGTTTAGGTAATCATTACTTGTCTCTATAGACGGCAGGTAGTCGGAGTGCAGTCTAAATAAGTTAAGAAACCTATTTAAGAACGGTACAGTTCTTGCACAATTTATGTTGGTTTTAATATACTAACTATCGATTGAGTTTATTTCCATACACTGAACAACTTTGTTTTTATGTCTTTGTATTGCTTGACCCTTGAACCGCATCCTTGTCCCCACTCGAGCAACGTAAGAAGTATACGATAATGTTGTCCGGTCGTAAATATAGACGTGGGGCCATAAACCACCGACAATCACTTACCAGCGCGGTGCATGGCGGTGGACGGCACAATCCCGCGGAGTGGTGGCACGCTGTCCGCCTCGCCGTCACGCTCCACCTGCCCAGGTTTACTGCCGGCTGCACTTCACACCACGTGTTGTATATTGTCTCCCACCACTCTGCTGTTCAATCAATGCTCAACACTCACACCATCAAACGTAGAATTCATAGTTTTAATACTTTCAATTCTATCTATTCATTTATATGAATGTTTCCACTTACTGAAGTGACACAGTTGAGCGTGTCACTTATTGTTTAGATTTCTATTGTAAATTGTCTATGTAGTTAGGTCTGATATTTTGTTGGGTGTCCATGTGTCCATGTTCCTGCATTGCCTGTTCTCATACTTACTTTACAATCTGTACTGATAAATACTAGTACTAGTGTAGTTGGTCGTGCGTGGAACATGCGGTCACTGGTCGGTAGACTCTACTCGTATAGTCAGTCAGTGTGTATGATGTATATGTTTGTATTGATTGATACAGTGTGTGTGTGTGTGTGTGTGTGTATGTGTTGTCGGTCTGTCGGTCTGTCGGTCTGTTACACAGCACTTATAATATTGAGCGCGCCATATATCGGTATCAATCACTCAACGCTATGCACACACCCAGCGCCAATGTTTGCCCATACACCGCCGACACTATCGCCGTGTGTTGTGTGCTTTGATTGCTACGTATTCGGCTGCCGAGTGACCGGTCGTACAACTCCTTCAATGTATTGCAAAATATCTACTTAGGTACGTACGTATAGGTATGTGTGTATAGTGTTGCTTTCTGTCAGATTGTCTGTTGTTTGTTGATGTTATTACACTGGCCGCGCAGTGGGCGGAGCCACGGCAAATACATCTCCTATATTATTGTGTGCCGCGCGGATTTCATCTACTCCACGGGGTTTCATTTGTGTTGTTACTCTTTGTGGATTTTGTTTGAATTCAGGCTAATCTCTGTTATAAATATTGCAGGGTTCCACGTGCAAAGAGTTAAAATAAATAAAACTAAATTCGGCTTCCGAATAAACTTTTATTGGACAAACGTGAACTTCTCGTGAAGCCGTATAGTACAATGTACATCAACTTGACTAGTAAAATACAATTAATTAACTAACTAGCAGTACATACAGTTACCATGACGACACCTAGAGTAACGAGCAGTGGCAGCCGGCACAGCGCCGGCCGCCCCACACACAATATATTAAACGTCGTAAAAATAAATGTCTTAATGTAAATATATTTGATAAAAATCTCGTTTACACTAGAAGGTGACATAGTAACGACTACATTTTGTACGAGTATTATCTGGTAGCGGAGCGCGGGACTCCTCAACTGCTCATAAACATTTAACGCGGAATGAAACGTAACATTGCACATCGCAACAAATGTGAAGCTAACAAATACGAGTAGCGTCTCGCCGTCCCGCGGTGCTGGGGCACGTGCCACGAGTGTAGCAAGCGGTAGGAACTCCACCGTCGACGGGAATGCGTCTCACTGGTTGGAAGTGAAACGGATTACACGTCGATATACATATATACTCTGTGGTCTTACAATTAATAAAATAAGCTGTCAAGTAAAATGGCGCGCATATTTCATTTTCTGGAAATACAAACATTCAAGTGGTACCACAGAGCAAAACAAATATTTCAACACTCAGCAAGTTGTGATAACAATTTAACAAAACAATGTATACAATAATAACAATGAATATTATGGAACAGTAGTAGGACATGTTGTAACAAGCGTTATAGTTGATGAAGAGACCTATGAAGCACTGTTACATGAAGACACGCTAGACACAGTGACGTGGACAGACAGATGTACCTAAGATATGACAGTTGTTATGCAATATTAGTTTTATTTAGTTATATAATATGATACAGTTTCCAGTAGTCTAGGCCTCGTCCCGCGCACTGCTCTCTGTGAAAACAAAAACACAACATTACAAGCAGGAAATATTTCGTGACGAATAAAGTTACAGTCGTTATATAACAAGAGACGACGGGTAAGTAAGACAGACTGGTGAATGTTAATAATTCGTAGTGTTATGCAAACCAAATATAGATCAAGATCGTCGTAATAAAGCGTGTATTGAATAATATTCGAAAAATGACGAAAATACTACTAGTTAGATTATGTTAAATATATAGAGGTAGATGAATCCATTTCAGTTTACAGCGCAGAGCGCCGACTAGTGAGGTGGAAGTGAGCAGTGGCCGTTAATTTAATTAAATACTTTTTACAATAGCCACGTAATGCGCGGTAACCGTTTGCTTAGCTTTGAGAAACGGTTCAACTCGTAACTCGCGCCCACTTCGCTGACTGCGCGCTTTGTTCGATTGATTTCACTGCACACCGCGGTCTTCCAAATAAAATACTTTGTAAAAGTTTTACAGAGGATAATTTTGAGATTTGCAAAACAGAGCGCTGAGTAACTTTGCTGTCTTTGATATGGATCTCAGAGAACACAATAAGTGTGCTCCCAAGACAACGTGTCTATAAGTTACCACAAATACTGCACGTCCGAGACTGCTGGCCATTGCTGACACTTCAGTATCACGTGCCCCACAGAAAACATATCTTTATACTCTAAAATACCCATCGTTTCTCAACTTGGATCTTAGTCAATTTGGCTGGTAATTGAAATTCGTTGAGGTGGCTGTACTATTCGAACTAGGAAACTTCTACCAGTATAATAACATGTATCATGATTTACACGTGCCTGTGTAATGCTACAATGTAGGAGAGGTGACATCTACAGAGGTATGAGACGATGAACAAGAATAGAGTGCGACAGAATAGAGGCAACTAGAAGTACAAGCTCTAGAACTGACTACATGGACAATACAACTAGATGGCTAGGTGAGACAGAAGATAGACGAGTGCTGAGAGTGAGACACTAGTGCGAGAGAGACAAGCCAGTGTGGCTCCGTGCCGTTACCGTGGTCATCGTCTACCGCGTCCGCGTCCACCTGCGGTGAGCGCTTGCCCCACATGCCTCTTAGGTTAGTCCAGGCTGGCTCTCGCTTCCAGTAATACGATCCTGTTGGTTCACATTCACATACCATATTTATCTAACTAGTAGTGTTGTGTTCTATGACGCCTTCTTAACGCAATAAGTCAGCAGGTAATAAATACTCTACTATCCATAATAATTTGAATTCGTGTTCAATTGTAATCCACAAAATTAATTTAGCAGTTTACTACACTCATAGATACACACGAATGAATATTTTTCATTAAATCGTCCATCGTTAATACGAAATTATGAATTTTAACGCGTGAAAAACTCGGCGCGGTGTTGGAGTCGGCGGCGGCCATATTGACTTGGGGGCTATTTAATTTAAAAAGGCGAGCGAGGATTATTATCTAATTCTGTCGGCGGCTCGCACAAATTCCAACTTGGCTACAAATTTATTAGGGGCTTGTGGGGCGCAGTTTAAATTACACACGGAATGAACGAGCAGTTTATTAACGCGACACCGATACCGAGTGTCGCCTGTCGCCTGCTGCGCGCGGGTACAGGGAGGCTCAGTGCCCACCAGTGCGGACTGTGGACCGACAATTGTACAATCAGAGCTCGGCTCACAAGTTTGGCGGAGCGCGATAACAATAAGAGCTCATTCCTAACTCGACTGCGAAATGAGAATCAATAAAGTCGACTGTTATCGTTGGCTAACTCCAGTTGTTAATGTTCCAACCGATGCCGCCGTCCACCGATAAGCTGCTACCAGCCATTGAAGATGTTAATCAATCAACTTAACGCGAGCCCTATCACTCAGCGCGAGGCGAGGCTGCGTCTCGATTACCTCCGTCTGTTATTGTTTCAGCGATGAATTTAACTAGGGGCTACGATTTACTAGGAAACTTTTATGAGCTGTCGTAATTTCATCTGCGTTTATATAAGTATTGTGATTGATTGTTGTACTCTGGCCGTAGAAGTATAGGCTGCAATAACTTGGGCTAGTGGTGCCTGTGACGGTAGTCTACAAGTGTGGAGTGATACATACCGCTGTTGTACTGGGCCTGCTTGACAGGTCGCTTGCCCCACGCGCCGTGCAGTGCTGACCACGCCTTCTTCTCCGGCGCTTCCATTCGCTCGCTGTCCGACAGCTGCACAACAGACAACTACATGAAACTCGACACTGACCACAGTGACACACCACGGAGCTCTGTTTGCTTGAACAGAGATCCATCTAGGCTACGTTGCAGCACTCATGTCGTTTGACAGCAGGTACGAGATGAAATTATTCCTGCATAACATTTACATCTGAATCTCGGAAAAGTCTATAAACTATGGTAATTCAGTAAACTTTCTTAACTTTGGAGATCTGTTTCAGAAAGTTTTACGTGATGTTGAATACATTTTTGTGCAATAATATAATCAGTTGACGCATGAATTTTAACAAACATTTTACCAAAAAGTGGAAAGTTGGATAAAAAAATTAATGGACACGTCGACGATACGAAATTGAAAAGGGCACTGCGGTGACGGGAGTGCTTCGAGTAAAGTAGGGAAGGAGGTATGTACCTGTTGGATGGGGATCAGTTGTTCAATAGCCGCATCAATCTCTTCGTAGTCTGGCTCCGCGGTGCGCTTGCCCCAAGATCCGTGGAAGTTGGCCCACTTTTCCTGAATATAGTAAAGTTATGTGTTATCGATATAACGCTCACTAACGAGTCAAGTTCAGATTAAATGACTCATACTTACAGGTCCTCGCTTGCCCCAGGCAGAGCTCATGTCGTTCCAGCCTCGCTTGCCCCACGCGGAGCTCATGTCATTCCAGCCACGTTTTCCCCAGGCGGAGCTCATGTCATTCCAGCCTCGCTTGCCCCAGGCAGAGCTCATGTCATTCCAGCCTCGCTTACCCCAGGCAGAGCTCATATCTTGCCAGCCGCGTTTACCCCAAGGAGACTGTGACATGTCCCTCCATGCACGTTTGCCCCAGGCGGAGTTGAGGTCTTGCCATGCTCGCTTGCCCCAGGCTGAGCTCATGTCATTCCAGCCCCGCTTGCCCCATGCGGAGTTGAGGTCTTGCCACGCGCGCTTGCCCCAGGCGGAGCTCATATCCTGCCAGCCTCGCTTGCCCCAGCCGCCGTGCAGACTGGACCAGGCGCGCTTTTCCTCTTCGCTTAATTCTATTTCGTTGTCAGTCTGTGAACATGCACGTGTATGTACAGCAGGCGCCCCCTGGCGGTTGCGGAAATAAATTGCTTTGAGCAGTTTTCTTTTAACGCAAAGAGCATTCGTTGAAAGATTTCAAAGGTACAATGAGGCAAGCAATTGTATTAGCTCTTTGTTTATTCACAGTATATTTTCGTTGTATTGGTACAATTGGCTGGAACAAAGCTCGCTCGGGGGAATTGTTCGTTGAAAAAACTTGGCCGCCACATTAATGACGCGCGACTGAGCCACAAGTTGTTTTATTATTCTATTAACGCGTTTGTCGCTTCACGGAATGTTAATTGTGTTGTTGCCGAGATAAAGCGGCACACGCGCTATTAATGGCCACATTTTTCTCCGCTAAGAAAAGTAGAGTACTTAGTTATTGCGATAACTTGCGTACGTATGAAATACTTTACCTAAACTAGGTCTGCCGGCGGCCGGCTCTCGGCAACACCGGTCAAATGAGACTTCTAACAAATTCAGTACAATTTCTAGTGCCAGACTCGTGTACACTGACTACGAAGGTGTCGTCTCATAAAATGGCAGAATTAATGTTTTGATCACAACGTATATAGGCCATGGACCCAGTATTTAATTAATTCATGATATAACAAACTAATAAAAACTAATGAAAAAGTAAAGACAATCTGTTAAATATTTTAGGGGATTCTTGCGACCGAACAAATTGTGGAGCGTGGAATTTGAAACGTTGTATTTGCGTTTGTTTTTGTTCAACTTTTTACATCGTTTAGGAACGATAACACGGATAACAGTCCAACACATGGTACCGGAACGAGTTTGTGCCAGCCATTCTGTGCTCGACTAGGTGACACTATTAACTGCCTGACTTGGTGTGGTTGCAATACACAAAGTGATGAATCAAATATTTCTGTTCACGACTTTGATGGAGTTGTAGTGGTGTAATCATTACTGTGATATTTGTTTTCGTGTCAGTTAGCTGTCCTAAAGTGTCTGCTTATATGGCAGGACTAGTGTGTGTGTAGTGTGTGATGTAGCGTGGTTCGTACCTGTGCCGGCGCCGGCTCGTGGTGGGCGTCGTCGGCCGCCGCCACCGCGAGGGTGGTCAGTGCGGACAGCCACAGAGCGGCCACGCAGTAACGCATCTGTCGACAAACAAACAAACACGTTAATATACAATATTGCTCCTTGACATGGCGACGAGCATTTTTTCCCTTCTCTGCCTTTACAGAGTAGTTTTGAAAACCAATAAAGAACGACAACAATCATGTGACCGAAACCGAAATTATCTGGCATTCAGAAAGGCAGCAAGTTAATGTGTTACATTTATTTAGTTGAAGATATTCATGGTACGGTTAGTACACGTACTTCAGGGCTTTAACAGCTCGTATACAGCTGTATATATCTTGTAGACTGTACGTGGTGGTCGGCTTAACTCCTGCCATAATTCCTCAGTTCGGTGGACAGTCCACAGAAGATACACGACATTGTATGCACTGAACTATGGCTTGAGTAGTTGCCTGGCAAGCGACGTCGCTGGCATTAAACTACGGCACATTACAGCAGAAGATTGTCGCGCATAGTTTCACTTGTAAACTTTGTAACACGTACAGGCAGTGTGTGTAGCCTTGGACAGGGAAACTAAGACTTAAGAGGTAGTTGATCAGCATTATAAGATGGGGTGAGGTGACATCGCGGCGGAGTGTGCCGGCTCTAATAATACTCGTGGGCCACACCAGGCCACACGGTACGACGTCATGCACCTTAGGTTCAAAGTGTCCCGCTGGAGTGTCGGTGTGTGCAAATGTCACCGCGGCCGTGCGATAGGTCAGCGCGGCCGACACGCGCGGTTATTTACGTGCACTTTGATGTAAATAGAACGGGACCCGGGTTCACTCCCGGCAGGGGCCTTTTGTCAACATTCAACGTGTTAACAAAGTCAATTCAAACAGTAGATATATGGATATTAATTGTAACTGTTATATCTTGCTCTACAAATTAGCAGAAATCTATGTAAGTATCGTCCAGGTTCTTATTAGTTTCACGTTTGTGCGCTATGCATTGTTCCCCGCAGTTGGTACACAAAGGAGATACCAGCTGTAGGAGTCGCGACCGAAGTGATATAGACTTGTTATGCTGATAAATTAAATACTTAAATAACTTCAAAGATTTATTTCAAAAATCGATAAAATTACGCTAAATGAAATGCTAATGAGTACGACTGCACCCGGTTTGCTGTCCGAATATGTACTGAAGCCACGCTGCACTTAGCGTGTCGTGTTTGGGTTGCTAGATCAGCAAAACGTGTTCGATCGTGGATAATGTATCGAACATGCTCCCGAGGGGAAGAAATGAGATGAACTTATACAAAGATAAACGTTAAATGCTTAATAATGATTGATGGCTTATATTCTAAGGAAGGTTAGAACAGTGTTGGATGATGAATTACAAGGTGACAAAACAATAACAAAATATAGCTAATGACTCAAACAGTTGAGTCGTCAATGAAATTTACAGATCGTCTTTTGGCAATAGGTGAGGTTGATATGTCTCGCTTTTTCGAACGTAAGCTAGACCACCGTTTTGAAAAGTGAGATACGCGTGCACTATCACTTACACTCGACTCCTCGGATGGAGGCAGGTTTCGCGCACTGACACTTGAGCTCATTTTTGGCTCGGATTGATTTATACACACACTCACACTTGCTGGTACGCTCTCGGTCCGCCCCTGGCGGGGCAAACATCCGGCACGCTGACACCTTCTCCTCAGTAACCAGATCGTGGTCCCTGCGATGGCTGCTGCTAGTAGTCCATAAAACACCGTGTATTGGTGTATATCATGTGTCGTCAGGAAGTCCGGCGGCTGAGCTGATTCTTTCAAGGACTTAATTTGTTCATGGAGATGTTTTAGGGAGCTATTTATCATCATGCTTTCGTCGTCAGTTTCAAAGTCGTTAAAATGTTGGATAGGCAGCGTGAGGTTGTTAATAAAGTGATTTATCGGAGTCAATTCAGTGTCGAGAACAGCTGGCTTAAGTTTGAGCGTATTTTCGAATTGTTGATAAGCGTAAAGCGTCACGTCATGACCCTTTGCAATACACTGCTGAGTAAGCTGAATGCGTCCGGCCTTGTTGACTCGGTGAACTTGTAGGCCGTCTTCACATATGATTCGCAAAGAGTATGAATCACAACAGAAGAATAAATAGGTAGAAAAGTCGTGTAGTGGAATCCACTTGTTTTCACAGTTAGATTTTTTCATTCGGCAAATGGCTAGCTTCTCTCTTTTACAGAATTTTTCATCAGGACCTAAGCTCCTAATAGGTCCCTGCAAATGGCAAAGGTAAGTTTCTGCTTGATATTCACAGTTTTGAAGATCTTTAATGCTTGCTGTCAAATAAGCATCTCTTCTTAAGTTGATCGCAACATATTCTGCTATTGGTTCAATGATGATCATACTTTTATTAATTTGAACTGGAACTGGAATCAAATTATAAAGCTGGAATGTGTCTCTGCTGATTAAGGGTAAAGTAATTTCAAATATGAAATATTCCTCCATCATCCTGGCTTTGACTTTCAATAATTTATAGATCTTATACAGGTTGAATTGGATGTCGTCTACAGGTATTGCTAGCTCTTTGGATATTTGGCCAGACACAATTTGTAACTCCCCACGAAGCTGTTGTGGTGTCAACAGATGCAGGTTGATTTGACCGTGATATACTTCAGTCATTGTGTCAAGAAAGGCATCTTGAATTCGCTTTAAGTTTTGGATCATATTGATGGTTGCTAATGCTGTCAAGGTGAAATCTTGATGGGTAGATATTACGTCGATTTCCTTCTGTAATGTGTTGGTTTCGCTGTCTAAATAATTCAAGTGTTTATTGATAATTTTATGTTGTTTTGAAATTGTATCCTCTGTTCTCTTTAAGATATTATATTCCGCTTCAATGACCGATGTCTGATTCTTATAAAGCTGACTAAGATGGTTTATATTACTACGCACGAGGTCAATGTCGTTCTTGTACTTTTCTGCGAATTCCTGGTCGAGTACTCCGAACAATGAACTTGCAATAGAACCGACCGCGTTAATCAACCCGCGTCGGGTTCGCAAGTGCGCTCCAAAATGCTGATTAAGCAATAGCTGATTGTAAAATTTTAATTCATTATACTCATGCTGTACTTGCAAAATGATGATTCGACAATGGCTCTGTGCTTGAATCTTTCCGCATGTTTGTTCGAGATATTCCATATACTTCGTAATCGCTGTGTCTCCTTGCCAGTAGGGAGACATGTTATAATAAGTGACAATTTTCCACTCATCACGAATGAGATGCATTTGTCCTAGAGGGTCGAAATAAATAGTTTGATTGTTGTCGAACGCTGTTAGTTTATAAGACGCTTCAGAAGGTATAAGAAGGTTCATAAAAAATAATAATGATAGTGCAATGCTATAGATCTTAGGACAACTGTTAGTCCGTTTCCTTATTTCCATCTTTCTTTCTTGGCTTTGCTGTTCTGTAGCTTCGATTTTTCCTTGTTTGTCTGTAATCTTGTCCGATATTGGCAAAATCGATAGTTTAGTAATTGGACGCTTCATATAACCATTTTTAGTTTTTAAAGTTACTACCCTGACGAGTCCATCCTTTCCTGGGTGGACCTCTACCACCCGACCAACTGGCCATTTTCCGGCAGGCATGTTGTCATCATGAATAGTAACCATGTTTCCTATCTCTATATTCTTTTGTTCCCTGAACCACTTGCTACGCATCGATAGTTGGCTAAGATATTCGGTTTTCCAGCGTTTCCATATATCTTGGAACGTTTTGTTCACCAAATACCATCTTGTCCTCGCATCTTGTGCTGTTTCTATGACAGTAAGACCCGCACGGCTAGTTAAAAAATGTGCTGGTGTAAGAAAATCAATGTCCTCTATGTCTTCTGACATTGAACACAGTGGTCTTGAGTTAAGGCTCGCTTCAATTTGAGACAGAATAGTAGAATATTCTTCGAATGTTAAGGCTTGATCTCCAATTACTCTTTTCATATGTTGCTTAAGACTTCTGATTGATCGCTCCCAGATCCCTCCAGCACTCGGCCAAGATGGACAATTCCAATGCCATTCTATGTTTAGTTCTGCTATTTCTTTATAAAAGCTGTCGCTAAAAATGTTCTCAAAATGTTGTTGCTCTTCTTGAAGTATCTTATTGGCTCCCACAAAGTTAGTTCCATTATCAGAATATATATGCTTTGGAGTTCCTCGTCGAGCCGAGAAGCGACGTAAAGCAGCTAAGAACGATAAACTGCTGAGGTCGGAAACTAACTCTATGTGTACTGCTTTCGTAACCATGCAAACAAACAGGGCAACGTATCCTTTAGAGGTTTTGATTCCTCTCCCTTTGTTTGATTTTACTTTAATAGATCCTGTGTAGTCTATTCCAGTATGATAAAATGGAGGAGCTGGATTAGTCCTAAAATCAGGCAGTTGTCCCATTATTTGGTGAAGTCGTTTGGGTTCTTGTTTTTTGCAGGTCACGCAATTACGAAGTTGTTTCTTGGTAGCTCTATTTCCCTTGATTATCCAATATTGTTGTCTCAACAAAGACAAGGTTAGTCGAGCCCCCCCATGAAAGGTATTTTCATGTGCTTGCTGGATAAGGAGCTCCGTCAGTCGTCCGTTATAAGGGATGATCATAGGATATTTCATGTCAGTGCTAATATTTGCATTTTTAAGACGTCCTCCGACTCTTAAAATGCCGCTGTCGTCTAGAAATGGATTCAGATTTAATAGCTTGCTATCGCAACTGAGTCGGTTATGCAATAAATCGTCGATATCCGATGCAAATTCCTTGCGCTGTATGTGTTTAATTATAACTAATTTTGCTTTCTTCAGTTCTTGTAACGTGAGATATGTTGGCCTTTGTTTAATTGTCGGTGCAAGTGCACGCAATAACCATGCTACTATGCGATTTATTTTTATGAAGGAACTATAGCGATTCAAAAAATCTTCGATAAGGCTATTTCCAGAGCTTTTATTTTGAATGGTGAGGACTTGTTTCCGTATTTCTTCCTCCGTCGTAAACTTTGTTTGATCCTGTTGCGACTTGAACTCACATGTGTTTAACCAGGCTGGTCCTTGCCACCACAA